TTGTATAACAATGTGTTTCACAATGTAATCTGATGACCACATAATATAATATTTATAATAGGTAACTAAATTATATACGTTTGTCCTGTAATAGTTTAAACTAGAAACTTTTAAATAAAAAAAATAAAAATATTCATATGTTTACGATATAATGTTATATAAAAATACCTTATTATTATATTATGTTATACCTATCAATCGAAATATAAAATATTTATATTAAAAACTTTAAAACGTGTGGACACAATGCGAATTTGATAAAACTAATTACGAGTTACCTTCACAGTAATGAAAATAGTTCTTCACATGCACGTCAAGAGTTGCCTCAAACGAGACGAGACTGCCGTACAAGTTCTGTTTTAAATGTTTTTATTATCACCCAACACATAAGTAAATGGGTTTTAAAAATAAAAGATGGGCGAATAGGTGAAATATGACAGTCATATGACTGTGCTTTCTCATAATATTAATAAGCTGTATCTGATTAAGACGCATCATTAAGAAATTATAATATTATCTTTAAAAGGACGCTACACCCACATACAATGTATCTGTGTATCAATGTATCTACAAACGCATAATATAGCAAATTAGACGGTCTGAATAATCTATTTAACTCATTTATGTTTAATATAAGAATGAATTGACCCATTATCAAATTATTAGAAAAATAAAGATACAAAATATTGTTATGTAGTATATTATAATATTATGGCACAATATTTTTGAAAAAAAACAATAAATAACATAGGTACCTGGTATACCTATTAAATTTATGTCAAGAATATAAACCTTTTTTTAGATTCATTTTCTAGTGAAATACTGCATGTAAATCTGACATTATAAAGTAAATAGGTAGATATATATCACTAGACTATACTATACTATCACTATACTATCTATCTGTGCTATCAAGTTTCCAAATTCCAACCATAGAACTATATAGAAGGACTTAATTATGAAACTTTTTCAACACTCCTTCTACCCGTATTATCGTTTTAAAATTGAATGAAATCTATTTTCTTGAAATATTTCATAAAAATGTCATGAAATATTTAATTTTTATGAAAAATAAAAAAATTTCATTAAGTATATCTAAAAGTGTATAGTCATCAAATTGCAAGTGAGAATTTTTAAAAGTTTAAAATAGTTATTGGTTATAAATGTTTTACTGTATGAAACAAAAAAAAAATATAAAGGCACCTACCTTCACGGGGTGCCGCCATTGGGTGACTTCCCCCTCCACATAAAATTTACTTATTTTATAACTTGCAAATACAGATTGTAAATACTAAATATACATTTTTTCACAATTTCATTGAAATATTACAAATTCAGTACCCTAATCCGTATATATTATAGCTAAGGAGTAGGTGTTAAATTATGTCAAAATAAAAAAACACAGGTACTTATTGTGTGAAAACAATAACTTACCTACTATTCACTGAGTTTAAAAAAAAATGTGACATTCTTCTATCTCACATACCTATATGGCTATATATACTTGTTAAAAAAAACTCCTATATGTCTACCAGTTTATCTCGTCTATATATTATGTACGTGTTAATAATTCCCAGAAATATTCCAGGACAGTAAGTGCGTAAATCGAACGAGGTTGAAATGAAGTCGAACAGACGTCAGGATTGAAGAAAACAATAACTACTTTGGCGTATAAAAAGCTTTTTCGAATCTACATTCTTAATGTACTCGGTTGGTGGGATTTATATTTTTAATTTTATCCATCCGAATGTGGCGGATTACATTTCGATAAGAACAAATGGCTGATAAACAATATCTCATTGGCTACATAATATTACCACCGATATTTCTAATCACACACCCACACACACAATATTAATGAGGATACTGGATAATAGAAAATCAATTTCGGTCGGCTGTATCAAACTGTGACCGTTTCACGGTTTATTGTTTCCACAGCGTGTGCATACAGGTAGATATATACATGTATAATGTAAAGTACCTACATTGTTTCAACTAGCTTTGAATTTTATTTGGTGAACGAAATTTCGATAATTAAATTGGTAGGGACCTAAAACGGTCATGAGTCACAACGGATCATATTATATTATGTAGTAATATTACAATAATATAATTTTGTATAGTTACGCATATTATCTATAGTGTATATATATACAGAGATTGAGAGATAGAGAATAGAGATAAAGAAAAATAGAGACACTGCAGATATTTCACGTGTACAATATTATAACAGTAAACAAGTAGGTTACCTACCTGAGGAGGATAACATTATTATATTTGGGAGTTAAATAAAGTACAAAGAAAAGAATATAATATGATATTATGATACCATTCGCATGTCATGAATCCGACTTGCAGACATTGGTAACGGGTATTGTGCACAGGCGGCGGAGTGTACGACGATAACGACAATCATAACGCGTAAGGTGAATAGTGAATAAGTTTTCCAGCAGAGTTAAGTTCTACAGTAACGTTAAATAACATTTTAATAACAAATACCCATCCCAGGGGTGTGATGGTCACAAGATTATCGTTATAGACTGGCTGCACTTCGCACCGTTGGGAATTCACGAAGCTAACAAGGGGACGTTTATAGTTTTCCTGGTTTTCATCGATCGAATCGTCCAATTGACGGATGTGTTAACTGTATTGAAAATCCTGCACAAAAAAATCTTGTACAAAACATCTACGCGTCAGCGGTTGATTTAACAATAAATAGACATAGATAACATATATTACATTATGTTGTATACTCATTCCATCGATAATCGTTAGGCGAACGCAATGTGTATACGATAAGGTGATAAGGTGTAAGCGGAAGGCTACGAGATAGAGTAGTGAGTACATTGGCGGTCGGCCCACAAATCACAGGTGGCAGTGTCGACATAAAAGATGATTTTTGAATTTTCCAACTGGTGTTCATTATTGCGAATTTCAATGTTATACCTACTGCAGTATTTTATTTGAAAAGGTTAAAATACAGATATGCATTATTGTATATATTCCTAAAAGGCTAGAAATTATCGCTTTTATTTTTTCAGTTGAACTTTTTGGTTATGAAAATAATTCTAAAACATAATATTGTTTTTTTTTCAGATTTTGTTGAATGACCAATAATTCACTTCAGAATCAGGTTTTTCGGTCTAGAATTAAGTGTGATAATTGTACGATACAGCGTGTGTATAAAAGGGAGTAAGTAAATTGTTCGATTATGACACTATACCTACCCTGTAGAAAAAAATATTCTATGTGTAACTTGTAACTACCGTTACCAAATTATCTCTGAGAAATGAAAAATTTGTTAATCAGTACTGAAATTGTGTGGGTAATGATAACAGAAATGAAATGTTTTTTTTTTGTCTCCCGAAAAGTAATGATTTGGACTTATTCCTTTTTACCCTCGGGCCGACCACTTAAATTCAACTATTATACTAAATACCTTTACAATTCTAAAAATTCTTAAACGAACTATATATATTTCTAGAATAAATTATTTTAATATTGTTCCCACTGTATGTAGGACGTAGCCACGTAGGTTGTAGGTATAACGATTGACTTCAATTCCTTGTTATACTAATATATCGGTAATATCTAATAGGTATGTTGACCAACAATGTATTAAATTACACAAAAGGACATAACATATACTATTCAACTGTATTCAAAACATTGTAATATGGCAATTGGCCAACAAAACTTTTACAAATTCCATTAATCGACTAATTACGTTAGATAAGTACCTATATAAAGATTATGTTGGATACATTAAAACTTAAATAACTTAATACGTAGTATTAATTATTATTATTTAAATATATGTTAATGGTTATAATTATTGAAAACTACCGCATTCACGGCATGTTAAAAAATAATCCTCGGGTTATTATTTCAAACGCACCTTTAACATCACGTTATATTAACACAATATTGTTATTATGTTTTTTTTTCAGAACTCGTTTGAATGAATCAATACACCATTAATACATGCATGTATATTGTATACCTCATACTAATTCTGAACAAAATATAATATAATATTTTATGAATCAGAATTTTTAAATGAATATTTCCCACAAATTATTTGAGATAATTTGATATAAACTAAAATTAGTGATAGGTAGGTGATATTACGTACAATTATTGTATATGCATGTTTGTATCAGTGTAAAGTTTTAAAGTGTCAACTTTCAACTCAGTATGTATAGTAAAATATAAAATATATTTTCTTATAGACTCAGTTTTTGAGCACATATTATATTAATATTATAGATAATGTAGGAGCTCGTTGATGTCAGGAATTGAAGTACCTAGTTAGTTAGGTGACACAAAAGTACAAAACACGAGGCTCAATTAATATGAATAATTACTCGACACTTTAATAATTATACTTTGAAAAATAATAACAATAACTTTAATAACAACTTTAAAAAAAGACAAATGAGTGCCCGTGAGCGTGTGCAGTCCGGACACACTCCGGCAGACACACACACGGCAACACACACCAAAAGACTAAGGACATACTAGACGTCGCTTCGGCGGCACGAGTAGGTGGACAGTGTTGTCACTTATCACTACAGCTCGGCCAAACCTGACGTTTTAAATACGTCCTAACGTCCTCGATCCGTATAATAAATACAAAATAAAAAAAAAAATTACAAATATAATAATTAAGTATAATATTATGTATACAATGAAAATTGAAAATAAAATATGAACAATAAAAATTAAATAATGATAGTAATAAGAGAACACTTCCTGAAGTACCTGGTAGGTGATAATGCTTAAAAATACAAAATACATTTTTTTTTTTTTTTTTTTTTAATACTTAATTACTTACAAAATCAATCAGATAAAATTAATACTGTTTAACCCAATGTTTAATGTCTCTCGCAGCGACAACTGTATTCAGAGGTATTTGGGTTACCTGGTGCCCTTCAATATCAGAAACAATATATCGGTCATGAGGGAGGACTTTATCTATTTTATATGGACCTTTGAATTTAGGCAATAATTTTTTGCAAACATTCGGTTAGTATCAACATTTTAATCATGATATATTCGCCAACAGAATACTGCGTGGCCGGTCGTTTAGTCGAATCATAGTAAGCTTTATTATTTAGTTGTCCTACACGTATGTTTTCCTGAGCATTCTGCCTAATTTTATCAAAATTACGTTGATCATTTTCAGATTCATTAAGCGCTTGTAAGTATAATCTAACATAATCTGTTGGCTCTCCTATTTGATCAATACCAAATAACAATTTACTAGGTGTATTCTGTATCGATCTGTTAAACGTATTATTTACAGCGAACTGTATTTGATACAAATACTCATTCCAATTTTGACTATGCTCGTGCATAAGTTTCGATAACATCACCGTTAAACCCCTGTTGTATCTTTCCACCTGTCCGTTTGCCGACGGCGTACCTACTGCTGTTTTAATATGTTTAATTTCATAACGTTCGCAAAACTCTTTAAACACATCCGAACGAAAGCATGATCCACGGTCGATATTATTTTTATAGGTTTACTATAGTGTAAAATTGTTGTTAATCGTAAACATGATTCTTTAGCGGCAACTGTGCGGACTGGATACAAATTCAAAAATTTACTAAACGCGTCAACCACAACCAAAATGTGTCTGAAACGCCCAAAAGTTTGATTTAACGGACCATAATGGTCAACATGAATTGTCTGAAATGGTTTGTCTCCCTTGTCAATTAAATTTAATAACCCTTCGTCTTTACCGTTTTTAGGCGAAAATATAATACACTTGAGACAATTGCTTATGTATGTCTTAACGTGATCACTCATTTTCGGAAACCCCAGTAAATTTGTTTGATTAACTCAAGTGTTTTAGTTGTTCCTACATGGCACATGTCGTCATGACACGAACGTATTACTTGGTCACGCATGCTAGACGGTACGTAAAATAGTAACCTATCGTTATTTTTTCGATATACCAACCCATTACGTAACTCAAACAGCGGGTGTTCTGATTGTTCCAGATCTCCGGAAATAGATCTAATTTCGGGGTCGGTTTGTTGTTTAATAGCCAGGGATTGATTAAACGTACAACCTTCTATTACTAAAATATGGTTACAGCGACTTAACGCGTCAACGTGCTGCATCTGCGACCCGGATCTATGCTCTATCTCGTATAAAAAATTTTGTAAAAACATGGCCCACCTAGCGATTCGAGGGTTTATGTCTTTTTTTTGTAGTGTCAGTGCAACGCTATTACAATCTGTTATTATTTTAAATTGTATACCTTGTAAATATACGCGGAACCGTTTAATAGAATTTATAATGGCTAACATTTCTAGTTCATAACTATGGTATCGCGATTCGGACTCAGTAGTCCTATGACTATAATAAAAAATCGGGTGGAATTGATTATCGGGTTGCTTTTGTAATAAAATGGAGCCATATCCGTGGCTACTAGCATCACAGTGGAGCTCTGTTATTGCATTGGGATTATATATAGCTAACAATGGTTGTTCCCCGAGTTTCAATTTAATGGAATCGAACGACCTCATTTGTTCCTCTCCGAACTCGTATGAAATATTTTTTTTTTAGTAAATTATAAAGTGGTTTGGCAATAATTGCAAAGTTCGGGATGAAACGTCGAAAATATGATGATAAACCAATGAAACTCTGTAGTTCTTTATTATTTTGTGGTACAGGATAGTTTTCAATAATCGAAACGTTTTTTGGATTTGGCTTAATACCGTATTGGTTTACACAGTACCCTAGGTAGAGTACCTCACGTTTCAAAAATTTACTCTTGTCGGGGCGGATCTCTAACTGTCTATTTTTCATTACCTTTAACACTCTCGATAGGAGCTCTAGATGCTCTTCAACGGTTTCCGTGGCTAACATAATGTCGTCGAAGTATACTACAACTTCATTTTTGCGAATAAATTCGTCAAAAACATTTTGTATAAAACGACTAAAACATGCTGGTCCTTGGCTAACCCAAAGACATTTTTAAAAATTCGAACTGTCCTAACGGTGTCGTAAAAGATGTAAATTTAATAGAGTCATTAGCGACATATACATGGTGGAACCCATCCTTCAGATCTAAGCATGTAAAATATTTTTTTCCGCGCAATAAATCTAAATTGTCGTCTATTAACGGCAGTGGATATCGGTCTTTTATTACGTATTTATTTAGTTCGCGGTAATCAACACACATTCTTAACTCTCCGTTTTTTTTCTTTACCAGGACTATGGGGCTACTGTATTCGGAACTACTTCGCCGAATAATACCTTTATTCAACATATTATCTAACATTTTTTGTAGACAGTCTTTTTCAAAAAAAGACAAGCGCCGGGGGCGAAAATAAAACTGTTTGTCATTTTTTAGTATAATGCGTATTTCTGGACGATAATTGTCAGTCGTACTAATGACACTTTCGTGATTAACATAGGACTCGTCATATATTTTTTTAATTTTTGTTTTAATATCATCCGACAGAGTATCCTCAATATTCAAACTAATGTCAGCATCATCGCTATTATTGATCAGTGTAATTAACAGATAAAATTTCAGCAAATTGTATAATATATCAATTTTTTTAAAGCTTACTTCAAAACGACATCCGACACATTCACATTTACTCTAGGTGAGAATAAAAAATTACGACCAATAGGCAATCATTCCTCGATGGGCATTGCTAGGCACCCACTGAAAACATATATTAATCGGGGCATCAAGGTCGGCATGGAAAATATCCGCATCAAATTGATCTACAATGTTTAATTTAGAACCATTAATACCTACTAAATCCGATTTTGGAGGCATGAACCCAGACCGAATGGGACAACTGTCGATTTAATGAGGACTAAACCGGCTACCCGTATCTACTAAAGCTTGTGCATCGATAGACTCACCATTGGGGAACTTAATGCTAACATCTAACATATATGGGGGTACAATAGGTGTGGGGGACCGTTCTAAAACAGGAAACATGCTCACCACCGTGTGTCTTGACGCTCACCTTGGCGACTTGGACAGTACCGCGCTGAATGACCCGTTGATTTACAGCTATGACAGGTTCTCGTTGGACACGAAGACGCCAGATGTCCGATTTTTCCACAGCTATAACACGTGACATTCGACATATCCCTTGTTGGCTTACTTCTTGCATCAACCTAGTGAACGTTGTACCGTATTTCGATCTTTATTCGCGAGTGTCAGAACTGGCTTTTCGATTGCCGGTGTTAACAGCGACTTTTACCCCCCGGTAAATTTACAGGGGGTAAAATAGCCTGAGGTAAAAATAGGCCTATCGTAACAGGCGATTTTTACCCACCTACAGATTTTACTGTAGGAGGTAAAAATCGCCTGAGGTAAACATCGCCTAACCTAACAGGCGATTTTTACCAACAAACAAATTTTACCGTGGTGGGTAAAAGCACCTGGGTAAAAATGTGCCTAGCGTAACAATAATTTTACTTGCCTAACAAATTTTACCGAGCTTGGGGTAATTTTACTACCCACATAATTGTAGTCTCTTTTCTATGATAATATTTTATAATTACTTTTAAACTAAAATTTTAAAATAATACAAATGCTGACTGGTAATCCCAAAGGTAATCCTGTGCACTGCTCACTTGAAACAGTATACCTTTATTCACGAAAATGTCCCCGATTTCAGATTTGTCCGTGCCCAATATATGCAATACATAATATAGGTAATAATACTGGTAATATAAACATAATAATACTGAATATAGGTAGATAAATGATAAATGTATGTACCTACATATTTTTGTACAGAGAGTATTTTATATGCAAAAGTCCACCTATTAAGGTACTTAGGTACCTATTCATGTTGTATGAATTAATAGACAAAGCGTCCTTGATACACCAAAAATCTTAAAATTAAATAATTATCTAAACATATTAACTATTGAAGAATACATAAGGGTATGAAATAAAATTAATAAAATAACGACTGAATCCTCCGGCCAATGAAACTAAATTTGGATTAATTTTAGTTAAGCGGCCTGCACGCGACCTGTTTTTTTGCTCAAAACATGCCTTACAGGAAAAACTCTCACGCCTCGTAGATTGGTCCGATTTCCGTAATTTTTTTTTTTGTTAGATAGAGGAAGACTTCTTACAGGGCGCATTGGACTTGGATTTTCAACATTATTTTTCTAAATCTTATGTTACAAGTTTGAATTTAATCAATTTTTACAACTTTTTAGTTTTTGTATTAATTTTTGTTTTTAGCGACGTAATCAAAAATCGAAGTCCAATGCGCCCTGTAAAAAATATTCCTCTATCTAACAAAAAAAAAATTACGGAAATCGGACCAATCTACGAGGTGTGAGAGTTTTTCCTGTAAACTGTGTTTTGACCGATATAATACACCCTATCAACCCCCCCTAAAAAGGTATTGGGTAGTAGATTAGTGGAAAAGTCTTATAATTGAGGTGGCAACTAAAATATAAAATTTAATTTTCAAATTTTATAGAATTGCGGAAAATTTGAAAAATCGCGAGCAGGCCCCTTAAAATAATTCATATAATAAATAAATATAAATAACCAATTTTTATTAAATTTTGATTAATTACTAATAATATAATATATATTATTATATATTTATATATTATATAAATTTTACACATTTAGAGCGATTAGCCCATTTACTTAGACTCCATCTTATATCACACATTTTATAGCATTTATCTTTAAGTTTTTTTCACTTAGCGTTTTTACACGTAGACACGTAGTTGACGGAGTGCTTTTGTTAGAATATCATTAGTTTTTTTATAAATTATCATATTTAATATACTGTATTAATATGTCTGGGTTAATTGTTTATCCCGTGCACCCAACAATGGATTAAATTTAATTTTTTTTTTACATGGAGTTGTCATATTGTTTTTGTTGGTATATTATTAGTTTTTATAAATTGTATATATATTATATTTATTATTGCCGTCTCCATAGCGCGTTTATAATAATATTATTTATTAATACGATTAATACCTCATTCTAACGATTTGGTCCATTTATTAGACCTGTAGCCTTTAATAAATAATACAAAAATATTAACACATATTAAATGGGAATGTTTAGGTTTTTGAATGATAATATATATACACGGTCGTGTGCTTTGACTTATTTTTTTTTTACTTAAATAGCAATTGTGTGGCTGGATTTGTTTCAAAATTCTAATCATTCAGTAGAATTAATAATAGGAAAATAATGTCTCATTACCTAGCCTTACGAGCTTCTTATTTTTTAAAACATTTAAATCCACGCAGTACCATGACGTGGTCACGTTGCAATTAGAAAATATTGATCTATTAATAATAATTTATCCAATGTAGGTAATATATTATTATTATATATAAAATATAGATTTGACGTGTTGTCATTTAATATCATGTACCTAGTTAAGTGGCTAAGTATTACGTTTCAATTCATATAAAACTCTGATAGGATATTATTTACTATTATTACTACAATATGAATATAAATTAAATATATTATATTTTAATTAATAGAAAATATACTTACGAAGTTACGACACAATATAACAGCACAATTATTCTAAATATGATAATTATATTTTAAAATAAAGTATATATCAAGGTACAGTATACACACCTAAATACAAAATACAAAATTAATTTAAAAATTATAGTTATTATTAAAGCTCAAAAATTACTTAAATACTTTTATAAATTACTTACCTTCTTTTGTACGTACGTCTTTTCTCAAAATCAATTAAAAAAATAATAAACACAAATTGAATACAGGTAGGTACTTTGAACAAAATAGTTGGGTATAAAATATCATAAATTACTTCATATTATGGAACAACCATGTTGTACAGCAGTAAAGCTAGGAGTGATTATAAAATGTTCGAATAAAATAATTTTAAGGACAAATAATGATAAAAATATACAATTTATATGTAAATACCAAATATCAATAATAACAATTATAACTGAATTGTGGATTCAAAAATAGATGTTTAGCTTAATAGAAATTAGAAACGTTCAAAAATATATTATGTATACATCTTGTTTTCATTTTTCATAAACACAAATACGTAATACGTCCAAAAATAGAAACTTCGAAAAGCAAATTATTATATCGGTAGTATACATTTATTATAATAATATTAAACATAAATATTTCATGCTGGTTATTATGAAATTATGTTAAGACGTTAAGTATTTACTATTTTGTAAAACCTATTATTAATAACAAAACAAAATGGTAGTTTGACTTTAATAATTGTGTAGACTGTAGATAAATTAAACACATAATTAATTTTGTTTAAAAACATTTATTTGAATAGGTAGGTTATAACTTATAAGTTATATAGAAAAAAATATTAATTAATAAGAGTAAAAAGTTTTACTAATACCATTAAGTGGACATTTGCATATTATAAAACATTATATGGACAAAAATCATAACACTGTTGCATTAGTGGATGCGATAAATAACTCTTGCATCTTAGAAAAATTTGTAGGCGAGTTTTACCCCCCCGGTAAAATTTGTAGGTGGGTAAAAATCGACTGTTACGCCAGGCGAATTTTACCTCAGGCGATTTTTACCCCCAGGTAAAAATTCGAAGGTGGGTAAAAATCGCCTGTTACGCTGGGCGATTTTTACCTCAGGCGATTTTTACCCCCCCGGTAAAAATTCGAAGGTGGGTAAAAATCGCCTGTTACGCCGGGCGATTTTTACCTCAGACGATTTTTACCCCCCCGGTAAAAATTCTCGGGGGTACAAATCGCCGGTGACACCGGTATGACTTTGAGTTGTCTTCACAGGCTCGGTCGATCGAATTCGACTGGTCCTGGCATTTCTCAGATTATTGTAAGAATTTATATCAGCCAATAATTCGTCTTCACTTAAATGTGTGCGCGCTATCAAATAGTTACATAAATCGTGAGAATAAACACCTTCAACTATCTGTTGTTTAGTCTCGTTAAATGGTAACGAAATTTCACGGCAGAGGCGCGCTTTGTGGTGAAAATATTCTATGACGCACTCGCCCTTGGCTTGAACGCGGTTTGACATAATTCTTATACGATCAACTGTGCACGACTCGTTTCCCACAAATGTATTATTAAACTGGTCGACAAAACTTCCCCAACTTGAAAATGTACGACCAATGTACCAATTTTGGGACGGACCATCCAATTTTGTACGTACTATTTCTAATTTAAAACTGTCTGGCCAATTATGCAATTTTGCTACACCTTCGACTGATTTCAACCATGCTCTCGCATCTGTATTGGATTCACGACCAGAAAAAATATTAATCGAATTATTAAAATCTGGCATGACGTAAAACCTCTTGTAAGGATAATGATTTCCAAATAAGCTAAGCCCAGCACTTTTAAATACATTGAGTCATTTTCTTCGGATTACAAGTGTCGGATGACCGCTAACTTGTAAGTTTCAAGTACTTAATCAGCTACTGATTTTGTATTGGTGAACAATTAAAATCGAAAAAAAAAATGTATTACCTCTATTTTATTTTGAATGAGTGAAATAATGGCTGGCACTTTGCATTCTGCAGCGAATCGTGGATCACTTATTTGTATAATTTGGAGTTGTGGCAGCTGAATAATGCCGTAAGACATGGCATTGTTTTTTAGTGTGTTCAATAACGCACGGCTAAAATATGCAATTTAGATACATATTGATTATATGATTATATAATTATATACATTGTGTACTGTAAAATATGTGTAATTCAGTCCATTCTCCGTTCTTGTGTAGGCAAATAAATACTACCTTGTGACTTATATAAATGTAATACAAATAATTAGGGAGAGAGGCGATTTTGTACACACAATACGCTAACTATGAGGATTTGGTTAAAAAGTTACAATTTTATTCCATGGTCACGTTCCAATTTGGGGTATAATATTATTATGATAAACATCGATCGGTGTTTTTATTTATTTGTTAATTAGGTACTATAAAAATATACATATATTAAATAAAAAGCACACACAGATTTTCCTTGTAAACAACGCCATTTTAATTGTATGTATAAAAGCCTATACACACATATTATTAAAATGGGTGTTTTGCATTTTGAATACGGTGTTTGAGAATTTTAAGTCATTACTATTGGCATTCGTTTTTTAATTGTTATTAATTATAAAAAGACCGTATAATAATAATATGTATAGTTAAACGTTTGATTACCATACTATTTATTGGTTAATTCAAGGTTTCCAAATTTGTTTTCATATTTATATATTATATAATATATAATATATGTACAATGTACAATGTACATAATATGTTATAATTATTTATAATCAAATTTGTTTTAACCACGCATGCGGTAGAACGTATGCACGTTTTACGAGCTCGTATCGATCTTGCGTTAAGACCTATAACCATTTTCCCATTCGATTCTGCAAGTAACACGTAAGGGTTATCGTGCAAATCGCATAAAACTGTTTCAGTTTTTTAGGCACAATAGTTAATTTTACATTCACGTAGAATAATATTTTGTACACGTTTATCGTAAATTGTGAATATTATCTGAAAATTAATTATGTTTTATAATTTGTTGTTGTTGTGCTTAACACGAAAACAGTTTGTGATGCCAACCGAAGTAAAATGTTTATTTCCGATACCATAAATAATAATATGTTTTATACATTCGGGTTTTCTAAATGGAAATAAATATCGTCCAAATGGCGAATAACTATACGACCACTGATTATGAATATTAAACATTACTGTTTAGTATTATTTATTTACATTTATACTGCCTTCACTCGGACGACTTTGAATGCGTATTAGACTTTATTCGATTTCTGTACATTTCATCAAGATTCATGTTTATTCAGAAACACGCGTTATTGATGTACCTAATTGGAATTATACTGTACAAATGTAATGAAGATATAATAGTCCAAGACTATAAACCAACGTATCTTAGGTGAATTACAGTGGTCAGTGATCACAAAAACTTTTTTGCTTTTTATAATGTACTTTTTGTTCTCACGTTTTGGTTCTTCAATATTAGTATACCTATTGATTTGTATGCACTAACTTGGTTGTACTCTGTGTAACGAGTTTAAAACTCGGTAACAAAATAACTAATTTCAGTGGGTAGTTATACCTATAATACATATAGGTAGTAGGTACCCATAATACCTATATAGTTACGGCATGTTTATTTCGACACTGATGAGTGACGGTTACAGCAGAAATACTCTGTAAACAGGTGTGCGCAAAGTAGACACTAGACATAATAATAATAGTCCACATTTCGAATTTATTTTTCAAACCGTAACTTTAAGGAAATAATATAATTCGTTTAAAATATTTAGATACTATCTTTTATGCATAATATGTTTTTGTACACAATTTTTTTGAGTGCTTATATAATTAAAAATTATAAGGAATATTTTAAAAATCAACGCATTATACATTATACAGTATAAATTATACTTATAGGAACTGTTGAGTAAAGTGTTTACTACGCACCATCACGAGATTAGTTTTTGTATGCATACCTAAACATGCATTTCGGGGCCGATCCGATTCTAGTCATTGCATGGATTATCTATGTTGAACTCCTTGATTCGCAGTCGCATCTTCATGAAATTGAAGATTTGTTCGCAAACTGATAAACAAATAATAATACTAATAAATAATATAAAAAATATTATGAATAGATTATGAATAGGTAGGTGGTGAAATTTTATTTCTGGGCGGGTTTATATATTTTCTAAGACAGTGGTGTTTTTGGGATTCTTCATTTGTGGTGGGGGTATATAAATGAATTGCAAAGTGGGCCTCGGGGAGGAGGAAATCCAACACTAAAGAAGGCCATGGGGGAATGGGAAAAAAGATGAACATTATTTTAAGTGATATTTAAAAATAGTATTGAATAATAATAAAAAAATTATGTTTTAATAAAATACTACTTTAAATAATATTATGCTTTTTGCTGATACGAATCATTATTACAATAAGAAAAATATATACTTAAATCAGAGTAGTAGAAGATGTTATGCAGTTATATACTGAGACAGTAAGAATTAAAAATATTCAAATATGTGTACACTAGAATTTAATATACATATTAAGTTCATAACAAACATAATAGTATATAATAATATAGTAATATATAAAAAACAATTAAATAATTCATTAAATTCGCAGCCAGGATATGATTCCTGAAAACCGATATTTTAAATTGGTATTTATTTTATATTCTTGTGGACCCTGCGTGCTATTGTATGATATTCTATATTTTTATGTATACAAGCAATAATATTAAATGAATAGTAGGTAGATCATTTTTTTTTTGTTTTTAGTTTAGTTTGTAAAATGTATACCTACCCTTCTGTCTCAGTACAATTCTGACTATTGTAAATGTTTTACGTTGCTGTTAAGTGTTACAATCACGCATATTATATTATGTTGCTCTTAGTATTAAGCCTTCAATTAATATTCAACAGTTTTATCATTTAAAAATGTGAGATAATTATAAATCAAAATTTTAGAATATCGAAAATTGCACTAAGACATTGAATTCAAAGCGAAATTACCTATTCAAAGTTCTAGTAGGTATCTACTCAAACACGACCGCGGTGAGTACCATATTGTGTGGTATTTTAATAATAATAATATAATATTATTTAGCTGGTATTGTGTTAATGCGGCACGCCCAATTAGTTGGTCGATCCGGCCGGCGCGATACGAATACGATCGAATAATAGAATAATATTATTATCACTCGCCGCGGCCGACAACAACTATAAGATGCTATTGCACGCGCGCCGCTGCAGCGGATCGGAGCTCAATATGAAATGTGCACCGTAATGCACAAACGCTGGACGTGGGCACAGAATAATAATTTATATAATGATATTATTACCACCGTCGCACGGAGGAAAAGAAAAGAGAACGAAAAACTGTTCGGTCGAGATCTTTCGTTGGAATCGTTTCGTAGATGGCGTAGGCCGGCCAGACACGAAACGGCACGGACACCGAGTACCATACGTCTTATATTATAATGATATTAATAACGATACTGTTGTATTAATAATAATTCCTGTCCAAACTATGTATTATTATATTATAACATAGGGCACATATGCGTATACCTATATTATTATTTAATATCAGGTCTTATACGGACGCGTGATATAGATTATAATATTATATAAAGGTTTGCGTACAACATGAAATCGAACGAAGATTGTATCGCGGTCAATCAGATACACACATTTAGCCGGTGATAATGGAGCAGACTTATTATACTCCTCTGTCCAGTCTTGGCGATTCGTCTATAATTTTAACAGTTAATTTTTTCAGTTAATTTATATTTGGTTTTTTTTTTACACAATTCTAAGAAATGATCTCGATAAAAAGTTATATTTTTTCTATTTCTTATGGTTATTTTTTTTAAGTTCACATATGCATATAATTTACATTTTCATACCATATGCTGAATGTTTCTTTTGAAATTGTCAATGTGCAGAATTTGAATATCAAAACCATAAGTTTATTAGTTTTGTGAGTTATAATCATTATTCATTTAGGTTTCTAGGTTTTTTTAAGTTATAAGAAAGAAATTACCGTATATTTGCACTACAAAATATAACTATAAAATACACTGAAATTTGCAATGGATAGTTAATATTATATTAATAATCATCGGTCGATGCAAATTAGAAATGACTTATAATATTGTTTAAGATTAACTTTAGAAGTGAAACACGACAGAATTCTCTTGATAGATTTTTCGACAGTTTTTTTTTAAACTAAGACAAACGTTGGCATGGTTGAGGTAAATAATAATATTTATTATTATTATTATAATTTATCAGTACTTATTCTATAATTACTAATACCGTGATTATATTGTATTTAATAGGAAATTAATAAAAAATATGTAAGTACAAAGTTTAATTACAAATCAGAAAAATCAATATTGTTCAACAATATAAAACGAACATATTATTTTAAATTTAAACAAATAAAGGTGCTCTGCTGTACAGTAGGTTACAAGTGGGTCACTGTATAATGGATGGTATTAAATTTGAATTCAATAATATAATATCATTGTATAAGAAAAACGATTCTGAGCGAAAACGGTTAGTCAGCCAATGATATTACGAAGTATATTTGATGATACTAAGGTGAATAAAGTAATTTATATATAACCTATTTACGTTGAATCTTGTTTTAAATTTCCAATCATTAGCTATAAAAGTAGAACATTTTATAAATTTTTAACTACAAAATTATTATTTAATTTTAAATGTGATCAATTTTGTCAAAATTTGAACTTTAAATGCTTTTAAAAAAAAATTGTGGGTATGTATTTTTAATATTTTTCAACTGATATTGGAACAATATATCAGGAGCTTTGCATTAAATTTTCACGCTTTTTTACCCAACAAATAAAATTTTATTGATATTTATGAAAAAAAAACTAAAAACGTTTAAAACTGAAAATGTCCGTAAACTGCTCAAAAAGAGTCAAAATATTTTCAAAATTATATAGTGTATAGGAAATGCTAATATAAACATTCAGTGAAATAGTAGGATCTACAAGTATTTACAGTCATTTGTTTTTTAATTACAGAAAATCGTTACATGAGAAATCAAGTGAATATCAAATGTTGTAAAAATATGAATTTCAAAAGCTCATAAAAATGTAGTTTGAGTTTCTTGTAGACATTTTAATTTTGATAGAGGTAGACAAACTTATGAGAAATATTGTATTACATTTTCATATCTTAGATTTAAAAAGAAAAATTTTTATGAATTTCTTACTCGAAATAATTTGCAACTTTTCGTCATTTTCACGTATTTTGTCAATATTTGAACTTTTAATGCTTATAACAAAAAACTGTAACTAAAGATTTTCAATATTTTTCATCTGTCTTTGAAACAATATATTAGGAGCCTTCTATTAAATTTTCAAGCTTTTTTAACCAACAAATAAAATTTTATTGATATTTATAGAAAAAAAAATTAAAAAAAATGGAAACTGAAAATGTCCGTAAACAGCTCAAAATATTTGGAAAATGTTATGGTGTATAGAAAATGCTAATATAACAATTCAGTCAAAATGTCATGTACTGATGTATATACGTTCATTTGTTTTAGAGTAACAACAAAAACCAAAATCGATTTAGCGTAAAAATTCCCGTTTTTCCTTAATTTTTCTTATGTTTTTCACGGTTATTTTGAAAACTACTCGAAAATTTTTACTTTTGACCCCCCAAAGTACCAACTAGATTCACTTGCCTATCAGAAAAGATACTGTTGAAGAAAATCCAAGCACGTTTTCTGTCCTGAAAGGTGATAACAGACACAAAAAAAATAAAAAAATAAAAAAAACACACACATCATTGTAAAATCAATACATTCATCGTTCCACTCAAAATCTAAAAAAACTAATATTGATAAGCTTGATTAAGATTAAAATCAAAAAATTTAATTTAATTTTTGGTCCCGCTGCATGCCTACCTAGATGTTATATGCCAATATAAGGTGATAATATTATATGTGATGAATTATATATTTTTATTCGATAAATGCCATAATCATTATTACTTCTAATTGACCATTTAACCGTTGTCTAATAAATAGGTATTATAGGAATATAATCCGGACTCCGGAGATGGTTAAATTATACTTTTTATTCGCTCGTAACAACGAAAATAATTATTTTTATGCTTAAGTATTGCTTCAAGAATCCGTGTTCGTGGCATATGTTCGTGTTCGTCGATGGTTTCGACACGCGAAAAACAGTCGTGAGACGTGTACCTTTTGCGAATAACTGCGTACCTATATCTATATGTGAACGTTTTTAGGGTTCCGCGTGTAACGACCAACTTAATCCTAATCGCACCTACAGTAAATATTATTATATGTTTATAATAATATTATAGTATGCGTATAGAGTGCGTGTGCTTAGATCGAGAATCTTTCGAGCCACGTGTTATTAACACGTCAAAAACGAATGCCACGCGCTATAATTATTACGAAAACGGCATAGTGTAATTAAAATATATATTTTTTTATGCGGCGGTCGCTACGCTCGCTCGAGCGGTTGCTCGACACCGGGTTCCGAAGGGCTATAATTTAATAGATATATACATATACGCACTCACGTTGAGAGCGTAAGTAATTATGTATTTATTATTTGTATGTGCAAAAAGTGCAAAAAAAAACATACTTAAATTTCAAAACGCTAAACTCGTAATCGTGTCTTTCTATACCGTGTTAAAGTGGGTACAATAATAATATAATATGTATATATTATTATACATTCCTACGTGCCAAAAACACACGAAATTGGCTATGTGCAAAAACATTTAACCATGACATTATCATTTGTAGGCCATCTCATTTAAATGTGTTTCAAATGTCAATCGAACGCCTTTTCGTTTACCTACCTATAAAATATTCTTCGAGTCTTTTTCAAACATTAAAATTTAGTCATGTCTTCTCTTTTCGTTACCCATTATAATATAATATGCTATATTATACATATCTAGGTACCTAAAATTACAATTATAATTATATTTTAGCAATGTACCACTAAATGCCTGCCTGCTATAACACTATAAAAAAGTTCGTTGGGTAATATACTAATATCCATGTATATTATACCTAGTAGTATTATCGAATAAGACCCTCTAAATTGTACTACTTTTTTACAATATATGTACTTGGTCCACGAATATCGTAACATGATTAATGATAGTCTAATGACTAACATCTAAAATAAATCTAATAATATCTAATTTATGCTCTATCGGGTTCGTATTTACGATTTACGAGTTTATTTCGCATACCTTTCCGAAATAGTACTCGTTTTACGACTTCCTAATTTCTTGTCTGAACACTCTACCGCATCTCTAACACGCATGGAATTTGATAAATACATCTAAAGGCAGGACTAGTAGGTAATAATTAGCTAAGTAGAGGAGTTTTCCACACGAGAAGCACTTCTGATCTTACACTCGACCAAAGCTACAGATCGGAAGCAGTAAAAACGATGACGGTGGTTGAGCTTCATCCCATAACGCGGCGTCTGAAAATGGCGCTGCTATTAGTGAAAGAGCTTCGTTTGAAGGACCCCTTGTAAATGGTGCCAGACTTCTATAAGCGTAGGTGCATATTATATTATACACTGTATGAGATGTATTAGGATTATTTTCACTAAATGTATGCAATTCAATTATAATAAACATTTAACATAAACTAGTGTTTTTTACTACTTTTTTACAGTACTGTATTGTATATTTGTATTTTGTAGCGTGAGAGCACTACATAATAATAATAAGACTTTTACATTATAATAATATATTGGGCCATTAGAATTCTTAATAAATCATAAATTCTAATAATTTTAATTTTATCATTGTGCGTACCTACTGATTAGGGACACGATGGTTAAATAAAACGGTTTAATTAAATTATATTATTGGTGCTTATATAAGGTTCACCAACATTGACTAGAATATTATTGATATTACTCACTTTTCTTTTGCACTTTGCGCACGAAGTCCTTGCAACAGCGTCGCTGTCGATCTTTTGTCGACTCCATCCAAATCCCGTCAGCACAAAAATATCCTGTACGGGGCTCCATCACTGAATCGTGGTTTAAAAACAAAACAGAATAGCTAATAATTTCAAGATCTTGGAACTAATTAATTTATACTTTACTGCAAAATATAATATAACATATTTTCTTACTTGAGATGTCAGTGAAGGCATTTCCCTGTGGGTGCAGGACGCCGTGCATTGATTGGACGTGAGCTTGTCCTGAGTACCATGCGAAGACAATACATTATTAATAATTATTATTTTTGACAGATTTTAATTTTATATTATTAAATTATTCTCAGGGGATATTTTTAATGTTTTAGATATATAATCAACCGAACTCTGGAATATAATGGAAAATGAGTCAAATATTATATTTAGAGGTGCATCCTAGTTCGGCATTTTATCCGGAATTTTTTCATTTTATATTTTATATTTCATTAGTATTATTTTTATTAATACCTTGGTGGTGGGTTGTTATAATGGAATATTAGATTTTTTGGAAAAACTAGTTGTTGGGAATATGTCTAAAAAATATTCTTTGAAATACATAATGCGTTTCGAAGTAAATGTGTAAAAGTTATATTCTTGTATTGACTTAAATTCCATGCAAGAATATTTTGATCCTTGAACATCTCTTTGGAGAAAACAAGATTAAAATATCGACCAAAAGTCAAGTTGAGCATTTAGATACCTATCGAATGATTAATACACTTTACCAACTCTTTTGACAATTTGACCGAATTATTGCAACCGCACAGAGATTTCCTGTTCCCGCTTCATACCTACCATGATAAGAGAGTTGCAATAGTAGATAAAGTAAAATGATCAGCTGCCCGCCGACCAGAAACACCGTCGACCACATCACAACCTCAGTCTCAAACACCGTCTAGAGAACTGGTGAAAATCCTTGACAGAAACGAAGTTATTGATAATGTGTCATAAATGTTACAGCCATTATATTATTATCATCATCGTTACCGTATTATTAACCGGTCAACGGTAGCTGTATAAGATTCCCTTGTCTTATACGAACGAGTTAACAAACGATTTGAAACTAATGAGGTATTTCACTTCCACGTGAGCCTTTTTATAAACACTACGATGACCACTGCCACTCAATCATTATTATTGTTATTATTATTATTATTTCAGTCAACAATCGAATGTTACTAGAGTATCAATATGCCTTGTTGGCTGTGCACGGTTTTAGTTTTTTGGCGGCCGTATATTATGTGCACATTGTTTGCCTATGGCGTGCAGCTATTGCAGCTATATTATTGTCGCAGTTGTAGGTACTTTTTCGCCGTTAAACACTTCATACCATTTCGTTATTTTTTGGTTTATTCCTAAATTTTTCATGAACTTTTTGTCTCGAGTTTCTGTGCAGGATTAACATGTGGATCCAAAGCTATTGTATTACATTTTTAGGTCATGACGGAATGCTGTAGTATGACAAAAACAATATTTTTAGAGAACACACTTTTAAATTTCATACAATTTAAAAGAAACGATGACTTTCAGAGTGAAAGTCATTAAAAAATCAAATACCTACATATACCTATAACATGGTGGATAAAATAATTAATTATTATATTTTTTTGCCTGGGTATTTTTATTCTTTAATTGTAAAAAACTTCATTTTTTATAAATATAATACAGTAGCCGCCGCTTTTTGGACTGTTATAAATGTAAATGTAATATATATATAAATGTGTTATTAATGGACACATTCACCATTTGGACTCAAACAGGCTGATTCTGATTTACGTATATAGTATACACTTACACATAAAATACTAGCTGAGCTGGTTAATGGGGTCAATGTATAAGGGCATATTTCCTCAATTTTTAGTTCATTTTCCAGATTTTATTGCTTATATTTTGACGATTAACATTATTTTCTCAGCTTTTCTCATTGAAAAATATTAAAGATTTGAAAATATTTTTTACTTTATTCAATGTCGTTATTTACGAAACAATATTTTTGAAATATTCGTGTGCCAATATTATCATTTGCATGTTTATTTTATTTGTAAATACCAACGTACATTTGAAATCCATAAATAAATACATAATAATGAATATTAATTAACAGTAGGCACAAGGCCAAATTTTTTATTACAATTTATATGTACATATTTTAATTCTTGGACCTTTCGCGGAGTTTTGCCTTATTGACACATATTTGATTAATGGATTCCTATACTCTAGCCCCAAAGCGAGTCCAATAAACAGTGACTACTGCATTTTCTTTTTTACAGATTATAGAGATCATATATTAAAAATTGGTCAAATTAATCCAATTTATAAATTTTAAAACTAACCACGATAGAATACACTCATGTTTATGTTGTCCTATATATTACTTAAAAAAAATTAGATTTCTTCACTACCTATGATAATTATTCACTGTAAGTTTGTATAAATAAAATATATTTTAATTGCTAAGTTTTCATTTTTCTCACTGTATAATTTAAAATTTGAAATCCCTTAAAAAGCAAGTTTTAAAAAAATGTTTATATAATTTGAAAACATTTTACGAGGCTTAATTTAGTGGTTATTGAAACTCAAATATTGTCAAAGCTTTATAAAGGCTATAGGCTATAGGCTATGTATATAAAATGCATTTAAGCAAATTATTATGATGTGACAACTTTCAATGTTACGAAAATAGAAAATAATTAAATTTTATATTTATATATTATAAGGACCTATACACGTTTAAGAATAATTATGTAGCCTGATAAATGAATTGTCTTTCTCAAAAAGCATATATGATTTACGTTTGAGTGATTTCGACACTTTGACTCTCGTTTGGAATTCGATGGTTAATAAATATAAAAACATTCTGTTTTGTTGATGTTATTAAATATTATATTATTATTGAGTAATAACTACAATAATTATTGTAATATTTGTAAATTATTAGAGTTCAGGAGGATGTAACGCAACATTCATAGCAAGTGTCATATTAGTCATCTAACCAGCACGGCGTTTCGGCTTATACTATAAAAAAATGTCTAAATTATTATTATAATACAAACGTTCCATACCCGTCTTCCAGGGGTTGTATATAGGCAGTTTTAAGAACACTTTAAAATTTAAATCTTAAATCTTATATTTTAATACCGTGTCAGTATAATTGTTGGTTGATGCGTAATTATTATTAGAATGAATAATATATAAGAAATTCAAGTTAAAAATAAAATAACGTTTTTTGTAGTAATATTACCAAAATAATAATAACAATGCAACGAAATAGAAAATATGGTCTAGTATCATTTTTCTGTGAAATTATTTTTACAAACAGTTTATGGGTCTTAATTATATTAATGAGTAAGCCTTTAATAATTTAAAAAGACAAATAAAAAGGCTTGAGACTGAAAGATCTGGTTTTGTTCATAGATATAATTATTTTAATTTCTTATAAAATACATTTTTTTATTTACTCCATTTATTTATTTATTTAAAAATCAATTTTCTATGACAGTATAACATATAATATTATTATAATAAGGTTATGTTATTAAAAATATATATTTTTTAATTAGTTATAATATTCACTTTGTCCTTATTACAGACATTAATTGATTGCATTAACATTTTGAATGAAGCATTATATTGAGATAATTTATTGAAGTATTGCCACCTACCACCTATATTATATATATTATACTATAAACTTATCAAACAATCATACATTATGAAATAAATACTTTATTTTATAAAACACTTAAACTAATGACATGGATTTTTCAATGTCAATATTGTATTGCTTATAATATAGTATATTTAATATTGTACCAATATATTTCTCTACTGTTCAAGGTTTTCCAAGAATTTTCTAATAATTATAATAAAGTATGGTTAATCAACTTTAAAAATACTTTGTTTAGTGAAAACTTTTTATGTGTATCTACTTCGTTTACAATTTCCCCTTCATAAATTTTTGATAAAGAAACTTGTTCATCAATCTCACCGTAATTTCCCTCCAATTGCTAGTTGTTGTATACATTATTTGCACAACATTTTCAGTAGTCAATTGGTTATAGGTATAATTTAAAAAAAATAATCATCATTATAGGTTAGTTGTATTAATAATGTTCTATCCAGAGCAGAGTTATATTTAATCAATTCAATTTTAAATGTATTGACTGTCTAAACATTTAAGTGTTATTTGTTTTCATATCACATTTTAAATACATTATTGAATAGTCAATGTGGAAATGTTTGAATGGAAATTTGAACTAGGTTTAAAATTAGCATAATTTAATTACCTACATTTCGTACAATTGATTCGAGGGTGACCGTGGCACCGTGCGAGTGGTTTGAACATAAACTATATTATAAGCAATGCAAATAAGTAAATAAATAGATGATATTAAAAATCGTTTCTATTTTGCACGCACAAAATAAATATCAACAAACTACGGTACCTACGCCCTACTGTACCCATTTTAATTTCCCTAACTAATTTACCAGAGGGTGAACCATATATATATACGAATATATGAAACCCGAAACTATTTAATTTGTTATACCATAACTACCCGTGTCCAGTTTTTACTCATATAACTATATAAGTAACGACCAGAAAACCGTACATTTCGTCAACCATAGTAATTTGTTTTTTTAGACAGTCATGTTTATAAGTCAAAAAAATATGGTGTGTTGTATTTCAAATATTTGAAAATATGATATTATTCATGTAAAAAAACTTTTTAATTACAATATGGCTATTTCTAAAACAACAACGAAGAATGTGTTCTAATATTATCAACGTAAAAGGACAAATCAATAATTGTTCAAATAAATAAATTGATTATTATTTGAGCATTCAAAATAATAAAATTAAAAATTAAATTAGAAAAAAGTTGTGTAGCAACTTATTATAAAATGTACAAAATTCAATGAATATAAAAATCGCTAGTAATAATAAAAAAGATTGTCATCATAAGTCAACTGGACTATGTAGTCACAGTAGTGTGTAGACGTGTACCTACTATAAGTACGGACGTTTTGTTAAAAGGCTGTTGAAGAGAACCATTTTTAAGGGGTCGTTTTTAGGTAATATTCTATATCCCTCGTGAGTTATGTGTGACTGTGTATGTAGGGACTGATCATTAGTGTGCATGAGTTCCAGGAACGCTTTATATAATTAAAGATACATTACATCCATAAGATTCTTGGAAATCAGTAACGTATATAGACGCAGTCACATGTCACTAAATTTTGCGATCAAAAAAGTTTCTTGGTTATGTAGGAAATAGTTTTCGATTTTTTGTATTGTTTAATAAATTAGTATAGTACCAAATTAATTATATATATATAGTTGGGCCACTACTCCTTCGCCCATCCAACTGATTGAGCTCCGCGGTATTTCTGCCACTCTACCACCTAGTTGTAACCGTAAATACACGGGAAAACTCGAAAACGGACGAATTATAGTCGCCGCCCAGAAGGGCTCTTACGACGGCCCGAGTATATATATACCTATAATTTTTCAAAATTTACCTACACTTTAATGTGACAAAAAAAAAAAAAAAAGAAAATCCATTTCCTATACGTGAGCTAGAAAAGAGAATAAGTAATTGGAATATATTTTCAATATTAAAATCGGACTTTTGGTACTGTGTGAACTTTTTTTCCGCTTACTGGTCAGAGTCTGGTCTAAATGCACGATAGAACAACCAGCTTTCAACATCCTTGAAAAAGTAAATGAAATAAATATATTTTTTTGTTTTACAACCATTGTTTAAAACCGTGTAGGTTATATCATATTCAACGACCAGCTATAAAAAGTAGCTTTTTTTCTGGACGCAAAACTATCATTTAATATTTTAATAAACAGCAAGCATCGCATCACGATAACTCGCGGAAATACTATATCATAATAATTATGACATTTGATGAAAAATGTGTCATACAATTCAGTGTACACGTCATTTTCCCGCCCCTGCTGTTACTCTATCGTGTCCACAATATCCGCCGAAACGGCAGCAATATATTATTATAATATATTTATATCGTTATTAACGGTCCGAAGCAAATAAAGTCGTATACACACAAGCACGCGTGGTGAATCCGAATCATGTGTTCAAAGTCGTCACGCGAATTTCCACGCTCGTAACATTCGAATTAGGCGAACACACACTACACACACACACACACACATACACACACACACACATACACACCTTGTCGGACGACGATAGATATCGGCACACGCGGAATATTCGGATCACCGTGTAAAATGTGCTTGAAATCGCAGTCCGACTACACAGCGTACTATATTACTCGCGTTCGCATTGTGATGATATTTTATACGCTCGTTGCAGTCTCTGTTCGCTCACATATGATTTGTAATCGTCGTGGCGGAGAGAGAGAGAGATTTACATTGATATTATTTATATGTATACGCGTAATATATGATATTACTTTTTTTTCCTTCGCGACAACCCCCCCGGCTCGCGGTGTTTGGCGACAAACGCGGACGGAGGATAATAACACGTTTTACCGCGGGCGAGGAGAGAAATCCGAATTTTGTGGGGTTCCGCGGAAACCGGTGACGGAAAAATATATATATATGTATACGCATAATATAATATATTATAATGTTCATTATAATCGAAATGGTAAATACGCGACTGGGTGCACCGAATACGACTATTATAATACGTACTACCGCGGCTGCTGCACCGGTCTCGTGACGATTGTGCACATATATAATATTAATATATATATATATATATATGCACAACTCTCGTCCCACCCCTTCGCCGCCGCCGAAAAGGAAAAAAAAATTACGGCCGTTTATAATAAATCGCCAGAGGGTAGGAAATTCGATAAAATCAACGAGATTGGCCCGTTCGATTATGCCGTTTTTGCCGAAAACCGGACGATCGATGCGATTTTAATAATCTACAAGGGGAGAGACCGGAGACTCTCTCTAATGGATTCGCTACATAACGCTGACAATATAATAGTGACAATAATAATTATTAATATTATTATCATAATGCGTCGTCGAAAAGGCTTTTGCGGGGATGCTTGTTTGCGGTAGAACGTTCGTTTCGAATAAAACGAAAACGTTTATTACGACTGTTATATTAGCAGCCGTACTCATCGGGTTGCATACCATAATGTTCTTATATACATATATATAATATTATAATGTATTACACGGCTGGTCGTTTTTAATGTTAATATCGTTAAATAGCGTGTAATCGAATCCAGTTACGCACTACCAACAATAGCGTTAAAAAAAATGTAAAAAAAAAAACTGTAATAATAAACGCACTAATTGTCGACTACAACATCGTTACATATATTTTTTTTGCATAGGAATGAATATTGTAATAAATGTAATACCACGGTGGCACGGTATATAGTGGGACAGTATAGTTCAGACAATTCTACCAAAAAAATTTTCCAAGAATACATTAATCTGCATGTAGTACGTGCTAACGTTTATTTTAAAAATGCATAAAATTATATTACTATTAAGACTTAAGAGGATGTCAGCGCACTATTTGTTTATTCTGTCTGGTCAACGCGCAGGCGCAGAATAGCCAAAACGCACTAACGCAGAATCGTTTTTTCTATGTTTGTAAAAAATCTTAAGAGTAAAATCACTCATTACAAAAAAGATAGATAATAATATTTTTGAGTTAATGACATCGGTTTTATATTTTATTGTTATTTGACTTTGTATTCGATTTTCGAAATAAACAAAAATATTTTGTACATTTAAATGATGTTTAAATTGTTTTGAGACAATATTTAGACAAATCGATATGACATTCCCTCAAAAATATTATTCTCTATCTGTTTTGTAATGTTTGATTTTACACTAAGATTACTTAAAAACATAGAAAAAATGATTTTGTGTAAAAGCGTTTTATTATGTATGTGCCAGAGAGAGAAAACAAATAGTGTTCTGAAATCCTCTTAAGTACCTACATACTTCGATTTGCATCACTGTATCTGGGTTAAAACTTAAATTAGTATAAAATATATTAATATAGCAAGATAAACGGAAACGATTTGAATCATTAACATGACGAATAATATTTTAATAATAATTCTTATTACACACCGTTATATATCTGTTAAATACAACTCAAGTTAAAAAAAAATCAAGTCGGATTTATATGAACGTTACATATTTACATGATTATATAGTTATATTTCCCCGTAACCCATCCACCGCTTTCAAACTGTTACACTGAGGATCCATTAAAAATCTATCGTTGCGTCGTTTTAACATAACAACAATGCCACGCGCGTAACATTACGTACGTCTAATGATGTTTTACTGATGCATGAAACGCGATCTTGTCACCGTCGTGACACAATGGGGATTTTGGCCTTTTAAAAGATTAAAAGCCTTTACCGGGGGATTACATACGCCGGGTTTTTTTTTTTTGCGTTATCGTTTAGATCGCGCCCAACCCTTTGGATGATAATATTACATATTATACGAACGCGATTCCGACCTATAGTGAAAGAGGAAGCGGACACAACAAAAAGACACGCGGAGTAATAACAGCTATAGTGTAACAATATATTTTATATTAATATACAATACGATAACACGATAATCGTACAAAACGGACGAGTTACAACCCCAGGAAAAAAATAAACCAACGGTGAACGGTTGTGGAGCGAGATCCGAGTGGAGGTACGGGTCCGTATGAAATCATATTAAACATATTATAATAATATGTTAGGTACACTGCACCGGTTATACCTCATCATTGGCGCAACTAGACATTTGAAGTAGGGGGTGCTTAAGCTCCAGGTTTTTTTGTGACTCGATGGGACCCAACTCCACTATTTGCCTATATTAACCACTAAAACAAAACAAAAACCATAGTTCTGTGTCTACACAGGACAGTACAAATTGTTTTTAAAAACAGAAACAAAAAAAAAGTCATACTTGATGTGGACCCAGAACAAAAAGTCACTTAAAATTATTTTTTTTGATTTAATTTTTAATTTTTTTATTAATATTAATATATTATATCAATTTATATGTTATTATTTTTCTACATGATATATAATATATTTTATTTACATTTTTTACTATAATATTAAATCTATACGACGGTCTTTCTTTGAGTATTCGTCTAGTATAATATTGAGGTCTAGATTATTAACAATATCTCTCTCGATGTGCAATACAGAAAGATAACCAAAACGATCTTGTGTCATAGATGTTCTAGTCCAGTTTTTGATACGACGCATGGCTGAAAAAGATCGTTCACACGATGCAGAACTGATAGGTAGTATCAGGGCTACTTTAAGTAAGGAATGAATATTAGGATAGACTTCTTTTGAAATAATGGTTTTTAATTCTTCTAAACCAAAATTTGGTTTTAACTGTATGGCACAGTTGTGTGCTACAGTCATTTCAGAACGTAATGCTTCTTTATCAATAGAAAACAATGCCTAATCAAATGATTTTTCATTTCTCATATTTTGAATTGTTTTTATCACAGCATTAATTTCAATAACAGCATTTCCAATTGTTCCTTCTTTTTTTTGCAATTTTTTACTCAATATATCTATTATTCCTAAGATTTCTTCAAAAATGAACAAATATAATACGAATGACATTTTTTTTAACATGTGCAGAAGACCTTTGAACAAAATGTCTTATAGTTATATTATACTCAAGTTATTATAGTCTACATAGTATACTTATATTAATATAAAATACAAAGTAATATATTAAATTATTACCAATTGCTTGAGCCACTTCTTTGTTTGTATCTTCATTTATTTCATTTTGTAAAATATTTACTATTACACCAAAACTATTATGTACTGCTTTACAATTTTTAAGACGACACGACCACCGCGTTTCACATAATCTAGAAATCGATAATGATTTTATTTGCATGGATTTCTGTAAATCTTGTAATAGCTTATCTTTGCCAGGCTGTGAAAAATGCACATAAACTGCTTCTAGAGTATTAAAAAAGGTATTAGATTCCTGTAAAAGATAATGATTAAATTGATTATAAAAAATAATGGGTACATATATTATAAATTGTAACGTACATAAAAATGTATTAAATATTATTTAAGTATTTATTATTATTTGTTATGCACCTTAATAGTTCTACAAGTATTTGTTACAACCAAATTCAATTTATGGGCCATACAATGAATGAAAATTGCTTCAGGGTGAGAGTCTCTTATTCTAGTTTGAACACCAGATGTGGATCCTGACATAACATTTGCACCATCGTATGTTTGTGCCACAAGAGGAATATCAGAAATGCCAAATTTTTTTAGAACAGAGAGAATTTCAATAGAAATATGTTCGGCTCCTCTCCCATTTGATACATCATAAAATCCAATAAATCGTTCACATACATTATAGCTATTAGGAATAATGTATCTAACACATATTGATAATTGTTCTGTTTTATAAGATCTAATAGAAAAAAAATTATGAAAATAAAATTATATTAAAATATATTACCTACTAACTTATTTCTAAGTAATAGGAAAAAATATAATCTGTGGTAATAGTGTATTACCTTGCTTCATCACACACAATTAAAATCAACACATCCGATAATTCAACATTATAAATAACAAAATGTTATATTATAAAAATTATTATTGTGTTATAACTTATAATTATTGTAATTCGATAAATTTTTAACTTTTTTTTCAAATTTTTAAACTATTTTTTAGGGGGTGCTAATTTTGACTTGGGGGGTGCTAAGGACCCAAAGCACCCCCCCTAGTTGCGCCAATGTACCTCATACACCGCGTACATAATATTATGATGTGCGAATATAGATGGTTGGGAGTCCGACAGCGTACGAAGGTCGTCATAGATCTCGGACGTCCGTCTCGGTTTCGTCGGTGCAGTGTGTCGAGGGGAAGGAAATTCGTTTCGGATTTTTCAAAAAAAAAAAAATAAAAACAAATCATATAGCACCCGGCATAATGGGCCGTGAAATGGGCATGGACCGGCGGCGCCGACAATCGCGCGAGGTTAGAGCGAGTACGCGTGAGAATACGCATAAATAGTTACCGAACACGTCGAGTCAGATATTTTCGGCTATTTTTTTTTCGCACCGCGCACGTACGATAATAATATAATAACGTATTTATTGGAGGAATACGTTTAGAATTTTTTTTCATGTCCCGGAGATCGGCGACGCCTTTTCCGCCGACGCTGACAACCGAAAAGCCGTAAAGACCGAGACGATGTATTATTATGCTAACGTCGGATTATCAATGCAGCCGTTCGTTTCCGTTTCCGGAGTTTTTGGGATACGGTTTCGCTCGCACGTACGTATGTGAATTATATATAAATATCGGAGCATAATATTATTGTGTATAAGTATAACCGAAAACGTCGAAAAAACGCTGATCGAACTATTAAACACGACCTCGGCCTTCCGTAGGTTTTCATTCCCATAATTTGGTTGTCGTGTAAATGCGTGTTGCGTGTGTATAGTGTATAGTGTATTAGTGCAGCCGTGTAGGTACAGACATTCAGTGATGGATCTTGGAATGGAAATGGGGAAAAGCTAGCCACAAAGACACAAAGTATATGCATCTATAAATTACATGCATATAAAATAAGTACTCATAGTTTTAAAATATGAAGGGCCCTGGGTCTTATAAAAAATTTAAATTTATAAATGTGAAGTTTAGACTGCAGTATTTGCAGTACCGTGAAAATAAGAGCTATTTCATTTAAATTTTAAACCCGTAGGTACCAATTAAAGAAATATTTTTAAAAACTATGTTTAAAAAAAAATATTGAAAAAAACATTTTGGGTACAAACTACAAACAAAAATTAATTGAGATAATGGCCTTTTGAGGAAAGAATTAATAACTATAGTTATACAAAAATATTAGTACCTACTTAAATATGTTAATGGGAATATTTAAATTTTCATTTGTTCAATGGCGTTTGTTTTTCCCTTACCTAAAAATATTTGTTATTGACAACTACAATTAATGTTTATCGAAAGTGTGCCACAATATTTAATAGGTACCTAGTTAAAAACAATGTGCTGTGAAGAAAATAAGTTTGGGAGCCACTGGGTTAGATACTTTGTAAACTCTTTTGACTTCACGCCCCCGTAGATCACCCTAGTGCATAAAACTAAAACTACTGCGGTTTCAGGTGCTATTCTTTTATTTCGCAAGTAAATATTCCTTACTACAATAGTATTTCAACCACAGGCGATCAGAATCATTATTATTGTAAAGAAAATAGAAGTAATCAAATTCGTTAATTCTATTATAATCTTCACTTTGCACAATATTTCCATGAAAAAAAATTTAATTAAAACTTTCTATGAGATTAAAGTTTATTCTAAATGATACGCGATTTGTATAATTGTATATGATATAAAATTCAACTATAATATTTGATGTATAATTTACGCGCAAATTTTAGACATTGGCGTGTCCAGCGTTTAGGCCTGGTAGGCCCGCGGACCTACCCTGATTTTTAACCTTTAAGAATACCCAAAATATGCATTTTAAAATTATACATAATATATAATAAGCACACGATATATCAATCATATTTTTTGCTGTAAACAAAATAAATATTTGTCTATAAATAAAATTAATAATCGTAAAATTTATCGTCAATTCTTAAGCGCTTCTTGGAAATACCCCATATTTCTATATAGATATCACACGACCCGACGACCGTCGTCGTTTGGTCGGCGATCACCGCCGTAGTGTTGAACGTCAAAAACTATGACATGGCTATTAGATAACAAATATTTTATTTAGTACCGACTTTTAATTTATATTTTATTGTCACGGTTGACAACCGAGCCCGTGGGCGTGAGTGAGTTTCTTCGTTTTGTATTTTTTTATGCGTATATTTTAAAACTATTATAAATTGTATTTTTTGTATTTTGTTAAAATTTATAATTTATAATAAAATGATTAGCCAATTTTTGAAACCTGTTCCAAAATCAACAAGAACATTAAATGATAATGACGATATAGTAGATCAACCACCAAAAAAAATTGTAAAATTAAACGACAATTCAATTTTTAACGATTCATTTAATGCAAAAGTTCTCGATATTAGTTTAAATTGTGATAATGACGAGTTCAAAAACAGGCGAATTCAATTTATTAAATAAATTATAAAATACTCATATTATAAATAGTTTTTAATATTGTACGTCATGTTACACGTCATACTTATGACTTAAACAGTATAATACAATTTTTCTTAAACTTTAAAATGTGTTGACTATAAAAGTTATTTTTATAACCAGGCCTGTCCTGAATTTTGGTCCTAGACACGCCTCTGATTTTAGAGTTTTGAGGTTATACGTAACTACGTAAGTGTTAATGAGTACCTATTTTTTTAGCTCCACAGCTTTCACGAGTCTTAGTAATTTTCTTCTACGGACATTTACAAACGCATATTCATGAAATAGTCTTTACTGCTTCATGCGGCTTGTCACGCATCTTGTGTGTTCAGTTTTCATCATTAGTCAATAATTATTATTCATCTTCTATCCTATAAGAGTCTGCTGCACAAAATAGTACTGGTTGTCTGGTTGGACCTCTCTTTCCCACAACAATTTGACTGATAAAGTTGTCTATTTTCAACATTAAGTGCATGTGCACGACTAGGCAGTGCAGCCAACTGTGTTTTAATTATTTACATTTTATACAAATTATATATACATACATTTTACCCAAAGGATGATCGGGATGCTTGAATAAGACGTACAATGTGCATGTATATTATGTGCATCGTACGTCAATCTGATAATTATTAAGGCGGGTTCCCACTATACACGTTTGCAGTGTACACGAAAAATGTTCAGCTATGTTCAACAACACGGTATCGTGGTTAATCGTGTGGTAACTTAACATAACCAACCAATCACAGCAAAGGATGTGTATGCACATGAACGTGTACGTGTATAGTGGAAACCCGCCTTTATAGTTATTTGTTGTTGGTAAGCTCCTTGACATCGTTCGAAGGTACCTAATATGAGGAGCTTTTCTACATAGAAGTTTAAAAAAATTAATCTTTTGCATGGGCTACGCCTGGCGAGACAGTTAGTAAACTATAAATTATTAAATCCCATACCTATATGTTAAGGGATTTATTAATGTAGACTTAAGACTGTAACCTGTAGATTAAAGTACTAATGTAATATTTGTTATATTATGAAGATATACCATAATATAAGCACTGGTAGTCCTGGATGAACCGAAGGAGGGGATGACCACCTCACCGTCGCAACTTCGCTCTCATTTCTTCCCAGTATAGTATTACCATTTACCATGAATTAATTATTATAGCTATTATAAGTATTAACTATAATTGTATGTATTTTAATATTATTGAATTGACCAATTAAGGTAGGTATAAAATGAAACA